TTCAAGTTTATCGCGTGAACAACACGTCGGTGTCATTGTCACCGCGGAATTTCTTTGAACGCCCGCAGCCATGAAGAGCGTTTGCTGTCAGTCATTTGGAAGAAGTTTGGAACCGATGGATAAGTCATCGTTTCAGAAAGGCTTGGTGAATAATCGGTATTTTTTCCAAGTGGTGACATTTCGTTTTCAGGCTGCGTGACTAGGTTTTGAAGTTGGTGAGGTTTTAAGACAACAGAATTAATCAGCAAGACGTCTTCACATTAGCGCGCCCGATTGGTATTGAGCGTCAATTAACGACTGTTGTTGGTCAGCGTGATTGCCAAAATTTTGCGTTGATTGTTTATGGGGCTTTCAAATTATTCCTGACTTCATTTGGTTCTTTAATTGACGGTTCACCACAGTTGCCACCGGTAGATTTCGTTGGCATTTGCGGGATTGTGAAGGTTACGATTTAGTTGAGGGAAGGGAATTAGGCGAGTTTAACCGCAGCTTGGATGAAGAATGCTCTCACTTCTGATAGCCACACAACAACGCATGTCAGCTCGACTGATTTGAAATCAATCTTCATACTTGCTTGTTTAACGCCTTCTTTTCTGGGATGCTTGGCGAGTTCGACCGCCCCGTCGGTCAGCCTTTGTGTGGTGGACCGTGGTCACCGAATCAAAACCTCAACATCTACGAAAAGCGAAAAACCCTCTAGCTGAGGGTCCCTACCCACAGATAGATAATATTTGTATTACATCTTTAATGGATAGGGGTGAGGCTGAAGTTGGGGGATATTTTCGGTCCGTGATAAACCACTTAAGGCGGTGTAATTGATATCAATTTAGATGAGGGAAGGGAATTAGGCGAGTTTAACCGCAGTTTGGATGAAGAATGCTCTCACTTCTGATAGCCACACAACAACGCATGTCAGCTCGACTGATTTGAAATCAATCTTCACACTTGCTTGTTTAACGCCTTCTTTTCTGGGATGCTTGGCGAGTTCGACCGCCCCGTCGGTCAGCCTTTGTGTAGTGGACCGTGGTCACCGAATCAAAACCTCAACATCTACGAAAAGCGAAAAACCCTCTAGCTGAGGGTCCCTACCCACAGATAGATAATATTTGTATTACATCTTTAATGGATAGAGGTGAGGCTGAAGTTGGGGGATATTTTCGGTCCGTGATAAACCACTTAAGGCGGTGTAATTGATATCGATTGTATTATAAATGTGCAATCCAACAGCTTCTTTGTGATCCACTAAAAATCCATTACTCAGGTGTCACACTGAGACCGATGTCAGACGGATAGCGGACGGTTCCTCACAGCATGAGCCAGCCAGATTCTCAGGCGGTATTTTGAAACCCGTCACGGAAAATCTAATACTCACATTGAGAATTCCTGTCGGTATGCCAACAAAGTCGAGGGGGTCACCGTTGAACCCAATGATATCCTTGAACTTTTCGATGTCCATTCGTCATGTAAGAAGGTGCCGACAGGGGGTTTGCTGGAAATAGCTAAACTACTGCCAATAGCAGAATCTTATCTCTCAGAATGAAAACAGCTGAAGATAGGTGAAATATCTGAAGGTATAAAACATGTCTGAATCTTACCTACCTCGTTTTTGCCTCCATGGTTTAAACTCAGAACGAGATCTACCAAGAGAACCTCGCACGTCACTGGTTTTGGCAAATGTTTGTGTAATAATTTGAACAGAGGGCTTCAGCTGGGTTCCCTTACTCACCCAAGGTATTTGGGCATCAGAAACGAGACAAGGTCACCGAGTTTTACACCCATCCAAATGAGCTGCTTCCACACACCAAGTTTAATATGGAGATAAGGTCAAGCTTGGGTTCACTGACCTTTGTTCTTCTGGCCTTGTGGATGACATCCAGATACTGGCGCTTAGTCACCTGGGCACTTTGACCTGCACTTGAGCATCCGAGTCAAATCACTGTTCGTGATAGCGAAATGCTCCTTCCCCTCCCACTCCTGTGCCCTTCACCCCTGTTGAGCCCTGCTTAGGTGAGAATCACTAACTCTTGCCCCTATTAAGCAAGCCAATGGGTAAAAAGCGTTCAATTGGTTATAGAAACGCACTCGTTTGGCCTATTTGGGGGACTTTGCTAAATTTATCTTGACTCCTGGTCCACGAGACTCTGCAAACCAATGTACTGCGGAGGGTGATCCACTGTTCTGAGTGCATTTGTCCACGCTTACGAACAAACAAATTAGTTTCCAAACTCAGTCCTAATGATCCAAGCCGTCAAGGCGAAATGTAGCACGGTCACTTTAACCAAGGAGAAGTTCACTTGTGATTCTTGAACACTGGGTACTTCAATCATCAGGAATGTGCCTAGCAGACCTTGAGCCCTGTATTCTATTTAAGGTGCCGTATAAGGATAATTTTAATGATATAGAATGTCTTACCTCATCATGTTTGACGAGATATTTACCGCTCCCAAGTGTATATCGGGAGCGGTGAGGGCAAAATCTTTGCGAATGAAATGAAACCTTTGCGCCAAAATGTTACATTTTGCTGCGTACGTGCTCACATAAGAGATTATCCTTAACTATTTTCAAATTTTTGCAGCTCACCGAATTTCATTGTCCACTGATGGAAAACTTTCCTGGCATCGTTTAGACTCCGGGGTACATAGATGAGGCGCAGAAATTTTGACTCGTACTGTGGCCTCAATCATCTGTCCCTTTTGGGGGCATGTATCTTTCGAAAATTCAATTCCATTGCGCGAATGCTGGGCGCCGGAGCGGTGAGCCAACAAACCTAATCGTATTTTCGAAAGTATGAACCCCAAAGGCAAATAAATTTCTTGAAATTCACGCTTTCACCTTCAGCGTCAGGAGGGCTGGTGTAGTTACCAGTACCTGACGGTCTGCCGATATTTTTAGTGTCGGAATCGACCTCAGCTCGCCCCGTGTTCCTGCGTGAGCACGGTGGTGCCTCATTCACGTGTCAAGGATGGGGATGGTATTTTCATCCTGGGTTATTTCGCGTATCATTCTCATGGAGCACAATCTGCCTAGCACGAGGCTAGACTGATTACTCTTGTAAATCGGAGAAGTGATATCAACCAATCAGAATGTAGCGTATTGGGGCCCCGGCGGCTTGTGCGACTGGGCGTGGGCTGAACGTGTTGCTGCTGTGTAATGACGCTCGACCTGAACACAAACGGCTCTGCGTTGCGCTCGGCCGTGGACGCCGTGTTGAACGGGACGTATTCTTGGTACCGCACTGTTTTTCTCATGTTACCCTCTAGGATTGTGTTGGGATACTCGGGTACGAGTTATACGTTGGACGTTATAAGCCATGGTAAGGTGCTTTAAAGTAGACAGTCCACTGACACCCCCCTCAGGGCTGAACAGAGACAATATGTTTGATGAGTTTTCTCCGGGACGAGTACTATTTGGGTTTGTAAGGGCGTCGGAAGCATCCAGCGAACGATCGTCGCGCCTGCCCGCAAAATATGTTTTCATCTGCTGGGTGAGTAGTATTCATTGTTTCCCCATTGTATGTCTAATATGTCAGGCAGTTGTGGTTCTTATTGCGGCTGTAAATGAAATATGGCACTGTGATGGTCTTGTTTTGTCATTCGCTCACTCCGTCGTATGTTTGAGAGTTGTTTAAGAGATGTCTAAGTGTCGTTTAAGAGTCGTTTAAGTTTTAGGAGTTGTTTAAGATGTTTTAGAGTTGGCCTCACGTGTGTGATACCTCATTTCGAGGGGACAAAATCGGGGATCGCCAAAGTGAAGGACGTAAATGTAGGAACACCATCTTCCCCACTGCGGAAATATGGAGTGTGATTGAGAGTACAGGCAGCTGCTGGCCTACATTCTCTGAAGTAAATTAACGCCATAGACTAGGTAGTTCAACCAAAATAGTAGCGCGGCGTGGTAGACAGCTTTGAGACAAGTGACGCGATTTTGAAGGACAGACGGTCCAGAAGTCACTAATGCCGATAGAATTACACCACTAGTCCGTTGGGATACTTGTTTTCCATATGAACGTTGAATATGACCGTAGAAAAGTAATATCCAGGAAAGGTAGGAACTTATTGGAAAATTCCTATGGCCCTAGAGTAAGCGACCGAATTCGCTCTATTGAAACCTTCCAGAACCATATGAATAAAGACATTTCACCGTCATATTAGAGCAAGCAACCGTCGGTGGGAGTTACCTACCGTTCTTTGCGAGCTCCGACTTGATACATGCTGACGGACGCGTTGGCTTGGCCCCATGGTCAGGAAATTACTGGACACTGGGATCAGTTACATACAATGTCCTCCGGGATATCTGTTCACGCTCAAGGCGAAACTATTGAACCTCAGTAAGATGGGTTTTAAGCTTCCGGAATTTATCAAGTAACCTGGATTTGTTAAGTGAGTTGTGGTGTGGTTGTAATGGAAGGTCTCCATCTATTTTGAAATACTAACTGAAGCTTAGAAAGAGCCCCTTTCACCTTCAGCGTCAGGAGGGCTGGTGTAGTTACCAGTACCTGACGGTCTGCCGATATTTTTAGTGTCGGAATCGACCTCAACTCGCCCCGTGTTCCTGCGTGAGCACGGTGGTGCCTCATTCACGTGTCAAGGATGGGGATAGTATTTTCATCTTGGGTTATTTCGCGTATCATTCTCATGGAGCACAATCTGCCTAGCACGAGGCTAGACTGATTACTCTTGCAAATCGGAGAAGTGATATCAACCAATCAGAATGTAGCGTATTGGGGCCCCGGCGGCTTGTGCGACTGGGCGTGGGCTGAACGTGCTGCTGCTGCGTAATGACGCTCGACCTGAACACAAACGGCTCTGCGTTGCGCTCGGCCGTGGACGCCGTGTTGAACGGGACGTATTCTTGGTACCGCACTGTTTTTCTCATGTTACCCTCTAGGATTGTGTTGGGATACTCGGGTACGAGTTATACGTTGGACGTTATAAGCCATGGTAAGGTGCTTTAAAGTAGACAGTCCACTGACACCCCCCTCAGGGCTGAACAGAGACAATATGTTTGATGAGTTTTCTCCGGGACGAGTACTATTTGGGTTTGTAAGGGCGTCGGAAGCATCCAGCGAACGATCGTCGCGCCTGCCCGCAAAATATGTTTTCATCTGCTGGGTGAGTAGTATTTATTGTTTCGCCATTGTATGTCTAATATGTCAGGCAGTTGTGGTTCTTATTGCGGCTGTAAATGAAATATGGCATTGTGGTGGTCTTGTTTTGTCATTCACTCACTCCGTCGTATGTTTGGGAGTTGTTTAAGAGATGTCTAAGTGTCGTTTAAGAGTCGTTTAAGTTTTAGGAGTTGTTTAAGATGTTTTAGAGTTGGCCTCACGTGTGTGATACCTCATTTCGAAGGGACACAATTGGGGATCGCCAAAGTGAAGGACGTAAATGTAGGAACACCATCTTCCCCACTGCGGAAATATGGAGTGTGATTGAGAGTACAGGCAGCTGCTGGCCTACATTCTCTGAAGTAAATTAACGCCATGGACTAGTTAGTTCAACCAAAATAGTAGCGCGGCGTGGTAGACAGCTTTGAGACAAGTGACGCGATTTTGAAGGACAGACGGTCCAGATGTCACTAATGCCGATAGAATTACACCACTAGTCCGTTGGGATACTGGTTTTCCATATGAACGTTGAGTATGACCGTAGAAAAGTAATATCCAGGAAAGGTAGGAACTTATTGGAAAATTCCTATGGCCCTAGAGTAAGCGACCGAATTCGCTCTATTGAAACCTTCCAGAACCATATGAATAAAGACATTTCACCGTCATATTAGAGCAAGCAACCGTCGGTGGGAGTTACCTACCGTTCTTTGCGAGCTCTGACTTGATACATGCTGACGGACGCGTTGGCTTGGCCCCATGGTCAGGAAATAACGACACTGGGATCAGTCACATACAATGTCCTCCGGGATATCTGTTCACGCTCAAGGCGAAACTATTGAACCTCAGTAAGATGGGTTTTAAGCTTCCGGAATTTATCAAGTAACCTGGATTTGTTAAGTGAGTTGTGGTGTGGTTGTAATGGAAGGTATCTATTTATTTTGAAATACTAACTGAAGCTTAGAAAGCCCTGCGCATAATACCATCAGGCCTGAGGCAACCTATTCCCTGTTCCCTCTAGACCAGTACCCTGCGCATAATACCATCAGGCCTGAGGCAACCTCTTCCCTGTTCCCTGGGACTAGACCAGTCTTCGGTATCTCCGCAGATCGAACTTGTTAGTCAGTGTCTCCGAGCGGGATCCCTCAAAACCCCACTCTTTACTGACTTACGGGTTGGACTTTTGATTCAGAGACTGGAGGCTCTTCCCATTGTCTTGTGAATCAAACCTTCAAAGCAGCGTGCTTCATACGAATCCTCTTTCTCGACCCGGGCAACCGGGATACGGGTTGGACTTTTGATTCAGAGACTGGGGGCTCTTCCCATTGCCTTGTGAATCAAACTTTCGAAGCAGCGTGCGTCATACGAATCCCCTTTCTCGACTATCATTTGCCCATAGTTCTTTATCTATCGCTTTTCTCCAGTTCACCCCACCCTGCGAAAAAACGTCTTTGGATCATTTGATTGTTAATTATCGGTCTGATCTGCCTTGTCCAACCAACTTCTGAATAACAACGAACAGAATAACAGATTATCTCTAGATGGGAACAATCGAAATCTGTACTCTGTCAAACTTGACAGACAGGCAGTGCCAACCCACACCTCATACTCTTTTGCAAGTAATGTGTGTCTTATTTCTGAAGCATACAAGATTGAAGCATGGTCGTAAATCATGTTGTACCCGAGACGAACTCAGCTTTTTTACGTTTTACTGAAACGTTCACTCAGTACTGCTGAATGGTGGTGGGGGTTTCATGCCAGCATGATACGGGTACGATGGCCACGCAAGTCTCGAACGTCAAGTAGCGAACAGTCTAAGGAAAGACCAAAAGCGCTGGTGGATAATGTAGGATCAGGAGATGGAGAAGAAAACCGCCTTATTCGATGGACTGGCCAAAGGAAGGTTAATATGAGTGAAGTAATGAGCAAGAAAGTAATTCAATGATTCGTTCATTGAAACGCCGATAGAGAAGACCAGTCGAGTACCGTGAAAAACAGTTTGTTTGGCCTCGCAGTACAATGCTGGCGACTTTGTATACTGGCTAATGAAAAACAAACCCTGATTGTTCACCAGAAGGAATAACGTACGAAACAGCCCCCTTTGTAGTGCAAGAAGACACCTGGATTAGGTCTTTCTAAAAAAGGTACAGAATCTCATTGTCCACGTGACAAGATCTATTGGTGTTATGCGCAGTAAAGATAAAGTGTTCGGGGACGGGACGGGTCAACACTCGTCTTTATCCTCAATCAGGCATGTGAGTTGTGTGAAAACCGTCGTGGTATCAGCTTGGCAATTGCGGCATCAAAGTTACTGTGCCGTCTCATTCTCCGAAGGATGACGAAACGCAGGGAGGTGGCTTGTTGCGGAGTTCGAAAGTTAAAGGTCGAGAGTCAGGATTTGAATAATGATTTTAAGGTGTCTACCGATGGTGGCATACGGATATATCAGTACTTGAGAGTGGACCTGCGGGGATATCGCTGACGATGGGTTAATGTAAGGGAGGAAAACAAATGTGTTAAAGAGAAAGAAGGGAAGTATCAGTTTTGGCTTGGTCCCGCCCACTCGCAGTGCCGTATGCAGCGAGTAATGTGACCCGGCTGATGGCCTCACGCAACGGCCGATGTCGCATGAGATAGTCTGTGACTGCAATTCACGGCAGCATGTGAGCTGGGGTACTGCCGCGGCGCCCAGGCATAGACAGGGCGATTATCGTCTTTGTTCAAAACCTTTGTCTCAAAGGCCTAACCTAATGTCGCAGGTGGTTGGCTTAATGCCGTTAGAGCACTCTAAACTTCTAAGGAGTGTGATCCTACCCCAACTTAGAGGACCAGCAGATTGTCACTCAGGTCTGTACCCATTGACCAACTTAGTATGAAAAGCTGAGTGTCACATGCACACACCGGTACATTTGTACCTTGTCGATGAATAGATCAGTTAGATTGTAAGAATCTAGGTGAGACTAGGCGGGACGGTGGTATGTGACGGAACAAGACAAGTTTTCCTCATTGATTGTTGCTGTTTTATCTCCAGGTGGGAGTTTCAATGAATTTTCAAATGTAGTAGTACTCCCGAATATGTTTTGTAAATGTTCATAGTTCAGAACCGAGTCATGTGCTCATAAATGGGTAGAGATCTAAGTCAAATCGGATCATATAAGCAGCGTCTTCGCACCTGAAAGACAAAGCCGCCTTGAGTTCAGACAGCTACGGTCTGTAGAAGTTTATAGACAGCATTTGTAACCTGCAAAAATACGCCAACGCTCCTTAAGGAATGACTGGGATGGCAACGTAGTTCATAGTTTAGTGAGTGGGAAGAATCGTGTAGGATCATTTCGAGATCAGAACAACTTTCCATATGTTAATATATTAAGGTTCTAGTGATGAAACGGGAGCATACATTACGGTCGGTGGACAAAATAATGTCTGGTGTGAATAATAACTGTCCACGAAAAGCTGCAGGTGAGCAGAACGATGTTATGGGTATGGTAGAGACAAAAAGTAGAAATCTGGTTAAAGGAAGGGAAGTTTACAGGGCAGGCAACTGTCAGAAGACGGTCTCCCCCTTCCGGTGCCTAGCTGCCATGCCACCCGAAGGAAGCACGAGGGCTGGGATACTGCCAGGTCGCCCAAGCCTAGACAGGGGAAGTCGAATGGCGGAGGTCGGATTCGAACCACGGACCTTCCGGTCAGTAAATTCGCGCTCTAACCACCTGGGCCATCTCGCAGAACGATGTTATGGGTATGGTAGAGACAAAAAGTAGAAATCTGGTTAAAGGAAGGGAAGTTTACAGGGCAGGCAACTGTCAGAAGACGGTGTCCCCGGATCTTCAAAAATGCGTCTCCCATGTGACCATTTCAGGACAAATCAAAGGTCAGCCTTGTTCCGAGGTATTTAAGGCAGTTTTCCTGCGCTAATGCACAAACGATTTTTTAGAGGGATGGTTGTAAATAATTCAGATGTTCGTATTCTGATCCTGACCCAGAGCCGCCACTTTGGTTGGGCTTGAGTGCTACAGTGATCCCGCGGGATGCACTGGCTGGAACGTCGTCCCACAAGGTGCAACCATGCCAGGAAGGCCAAAAGGGAGCAGTCACACTAAGAGCGGCGAGAGTAATCGTGCTACGAGGCGGTCTGGGGGTAAAGTCGTACTGTCCTCTGCGACAGGAGTGTGAAGGCAGTAAGGTGTTTCTCCCAGGCGACCAGCATGTCCATATTTATGGAAGCAGCGATGCTGCCTTCCCCCGAGGAAGGACGGGTTAGAAAAGGTCGGCCCCAAAAACCTCACACTCCGATCGCCCAACTGTTGACCGTGACCGCCGGCGCATTATCCAATACGGTCGAAATACTTTTAAAACCAAAGAGCCCGGTGCTGCTCAAAAGGCACCTGCTGTGCGCAGCCGCATCAGGAATGAGACAGTAATGCCTTATTCCCTGCGCCCTCGGGTTAGGCCAACCCCCTGCAGCCGAGCAGGACAGACTATTGAATCATCGGCTCCGAGCAGGGGCCCCAAAGAAAACCCTACTGTTCGCTGCCTCGTGGATCAGACCTTTGAGTCAGAGGCTATGAGCAGGGTCCCCGAACGTGATTGATGCGAGGAAAGCTATGCGAGCGGCAAACGAGTACGACGGTGCACGCAAATTCCTCAAACGCCAAATATTGAAGAATCTAAGGAAAGATAGCTCCAGTGGACATCGCAAAATCGGGAGATGGAGAAGGCATCATCATCATCATCATCAACGACAGCATGACACAAGTGCTCAACACCAATGCTTTACTGCCGTACAGCCATGACTTATTTGAAAGCCTTATTGTAAAGAAAAGAATAAAGGTGGATGGGGGAGGGACTTAGTGCTAGCTTAACACAATCA